TTGTACATACGTTCTCTCACTGAATTCTCCCACAGCCCTCTAATGCACTCTTGTATGTTTAACTATGCATACAAGAGCCAGAGTGTAGGTCAGCAGTGAGGGTGCCGTGTGTGTGATAGAGAGAGGGGTCACCAGAAACAGAGTGGGGAGCAGAACAGGTGGACTGACTGAAATGAACTGCCAAGGGGAGCAGCGGGCAGGCTAGAGGTCTGTGCCATGTGGGTCCCCTGCCTGGCTGGGGAATCCTCAGGCTGCCGTGGCAGATAGCTGGATAACACTGAGGCCCTAACCCTGGCACAACCAGGGAGGCCCAGACTGAGTCTTAATGCCGCAAAAGCATAATCATGTGGGTTCAAATACTGATTGCACAGTTCCCTAGCTGCCTGGCCATGCTATCACGTGACTCAGTTTCCTCATCTCTGAAGATAACAGAAGAGAAGATAACAGAAAAATGCATCACATAAGTGCTGAGGAAAATGTTAGATTATTCCTTGGACTAGAAGAATGAAAGAGACCCAGGCGTTTGAGGTAAGATGTTCTCAGTAGTCCTGGAGTCTGGGGATTCATTTGGCCTTGACCTCAGAGCCTTTCCCAGCCCCTCTGAGAGACCCCTCCTTTCCTTCCCCCAATTCTCAGTGGGGAAGAAGAGTAGCTCAGGCATTCCAGGGTCATCATTTACCTCCCTTCCTTTGCTCAAGGCTCTGACTCCATCTTCAAGAAAATGAGAAAGCATGGACTTGGGCTCCATAGGCCCTTGGGAGCTGAGTGTTCTTGGGGATGTCACCTGATGCTCTGAGGTTGCTTCCTTGGTCAGAAAAATGATACCCATCTCAGGGTAATTGGGGAGATTCACTGAGACAGGGTAAAAAAGTCCAGAAGTTAAAAATTGCTTATTATGTATAAATATAAATCAAAATCTCTTTTGTTTCTCTCAGTATCAGCCCTTCGATGGTACAAAGGGAATATCCGGTCCAAGGTCTGATGGCAGAATGATGAGAGACAGCAGCTTGGGAGACTCAGAGGTTCTCAGGAGAACTGTCTAGCACAAGAAAAGATAAGGTTTACTCTCAAGGGGCAAACCCAAAGTACATAAGAGCATTAAAAAAAGGGAAAGATATTCATGGGTGAAAGATTCATAATGGGATTATTGATTCAAACACAGATCCTTTCTCTGCATTTTCCATCCACCCCTCCCCCCGCCCTTCAAAAATTGTTGCTGGCTTCTGGGTAGTGACTCAGGCAGGCAGCTTACCCCGGAGAATGACAACTCTGCTGCAGCCGGTGCTCAGATGACCAGCAACCAGGCAGAGGAAGGAAGCAAGTTCCTTCAACCTAATCTCCCGCACTGAGCCTCAGTGTCTTATTTGTAACAAGGGGACAGAGCTCCTGACCTTTCAGAGAAGTTGAGTGGATTACATGCAATAAGGGGACTTGTACCCATTAATAACAGTAGGAAGGGTCATGATGGATTGAGCCCCCAGGGCCAGGCACAATGCTAAATGCTTTCACATATCACCTTCTTCAATCACAGTTCCAAACTCCATGAAGACTGGGACTAGATCTGTCTTGTTCTTTACCACAGTGCAGGTCCCAAGAACAGTAACCTTCCAAGTGATGACTACACTAATAACATGCAAAGAGCATTGTACCATTTTCAGCCCTGTATATTTTACTTTTTTAAAAAAAAATTACTTTATTTATTTATGTATACAAGAGCTGGCCGTGAAGGCAGTGAGAGGAGTCACCAGAGACAGAATGGGGAGCAGAAGAGGTAGATTGACTGAAATATGCTGCTGTGGGGAGCAGTGGACATGTGGGCCACCTGGGCCATGTGGGTCAGCTCCCTGGTGCTGAGGGTTGAACTTGTGCTGCAGCAGCTGCTGATAGCTTGATAGTGCTGAGACTTAACCCTTTGCACCACTAGAAAGGCCCTGTACTTTTCTAATTTTCATGACAATTTTAAGGGAGAAGTACGACCACTATCCCTATTTTATAGATGAGGAAACTAAGGCACAGAGGAGCACTGAAAGGTTGGATGATGTTCCCAAGGTCAATAGCATGTGATAAAGCATGAGAGTGAATAAATAAATAAAACTTAAAAAAAAAAACAACTGGGGCCCTCCCTGGTGGCGCAGCGGGTTAAAACACAGCATAAAGAAGCTTAAGCCACTTCAGCATGAGTTCGATCCCTGCCTGCCCTGGAGGTGACCCATATGGCGTGGCAGACCTCTCCTGACCCACCTGCTGCTCCCCGCAGCAGTGTGCTTCATCGATCTGCCTGTTCTGCTCCCCACTCTGTCTCTGATGAAGCCTCTTACCCTCCGCATTTTTATACCCCAGTTCTGTATGAATAAATAAATAAATCTTAAAAAAAAAAAAAAAAAACCACAGAGCTAAATGCAGCAGACCTGGGGTTCTGTTCCAGTGTAACCAGTTAAATGCCTCTAAGAGGGTGCTCCTCATTCTTCCACCTCAACCAACTCCAAGGGCCAACCTTTCCCTCAGAGTCCAAGCCCAGTGTGGCCGATCAAGTAGTTATGATGAAAAATGATTCCCCCACATTCAGACAGCTCCCCCAGCCAGCAATCTGTACAAAGTTCTGTTCTGAGGGTAAGACTGTCTGACTAACCCCGGGCCCTTCCACCACCTTTAGCCTCTGTGAGGGTGCCTTTCAGAGGCCTGTGCTCCCCCTGCCCTCCATCCACTCCTACCTCCTAGGGCAGGATGTGACTGTCTCCCTGGGAGTTGGGAATTGGCAGCTTCAGACATAGGGTTTGGTCAAAAGATTTTTCATCCTCATCTCCTGGCAAGAGTAGTGCTTCCATCACTCACACTTGTTTTCCATCACTCATGCCCTTGCCCAGCGGCTGGCATCTGGCTCATGGTGGATGTCCTGTGATAAGTCAGGGACATGACAGATGCCATTAATATAACATCCCCATTCATCCTCGGGGTAGGCTGGCTTGAAGAGGCAGCCGAGAGAGGGATGGAGTGGAGAGAGCACAGTTTTGGACAACAGATTCATGTGAGGTTGAGTCTGGCCTCTACTGCTTGCTAGCTGGGTAGCCTGGGACAATTAACCTCATCTCTCCATTCACAAAATGGCGATAAGACTTTTTAGCCCAAAGCAAAGTCAACTGGGGGCACCATTCACCTTGTTGTCTATGTGAGGGGTGTCACTTGGAATCCAGCTCCATAGAAGTCAAGGTGAAGGATGCCTTGAGAGTGCATGTTCCTGGGTCTATACTTTAGCAAGTGAGAATAGCTATGCCAACTTTCAGGAGGTGGACAAGTTGTTGTGAGGACCGGGGATTATGCTTGGAAAGGGGCTGGTGCCAAGTAGGTGGTACTCCTGGCATTGTTATGGGATGCATAGCATAGCAGTGACCAGTACCCTCTGCCAGTACCCACTGTGAGAGGCCCCTGCCTCGTTGTTTGGCCCTTGGCAGCTACATAGGGTGTTAGACACCTTGGCAATGGGATGGACTCTCCAGGGGGTTTCAATCTATTTGGGAGATTGCAGCTAACTGGCCAAGAGATCCTGAATAGAATCTCTTCCAGAATGCCTAAGGCAAGTGACCCCTTACAAGGTGTCTTCAATTCCAAAAAACATTTGGAATTGAACATACCTACTGCAGGTTAGGCATACAGTGGAGAGGGGAGTGCCCAGGGAGATAAAATAGCCCCCAGCCCCAAGAAGGTTTTAGAAGAGTGAGCTGAGGTGGTGGAGGGAAGGGACCGAGCACTCCTAGCGTGTAGGCGTAAGTGTGTGCGTAGAATCACTTCCACTTGGGTCCTTTCCACAGAACCCTCAAGCAGGAAGCCAAGAACCCCACCAGTCACCTTTGAAATTCAGGCTCTTCTCTCCAGGTTAGGCTCCCACCCTGCCTGAAACCGTTTCTTGCTGCCTCTCACCCTCTTCAACTGTCCCTGTTGATGGCAATTCTGTAACTCCAGTGCAGGAGTGGGTGAAAGGATCCCCATAAACTGGGGGGAGCAGCTCACCTGCCATGCCCCTTGCTCCTCTTCCACACCAACAACCCCATCCTCTTCATTCTGTCTGCTCAGTGACCTGGGAGGTGCAGCACCCCTGCTTTGTCCGATTTATTGTGGAGTCCCTAGCTTCAAGCTCAGAGCTGGCCAGGCGCTCAGTAGATATTAGTTGAATGAATGGTCGTGGGTGGGGGGGGATGAAATCTTTCCATGGAGGGTGGCCACTCTTCATGCTCACTCAGAGGCTCAGAGGTCCACAGCTGATCTCCAAAACAAGTCATGGGCACTCTTCTTCCCTCCCAGAGACTCCCTTCCCTTCTCATTCATTCATTCCTTCACTGGACCAATGTTTATGGAGTAGAGCAGGTCTTCACGAACTTGCCCTTGTATCCCTGGCTGGGGACCCAAGCCTTGGGCTTTTCACACCACACACCGCTCTCTTCATACTCCCACCCCATCCTTTGAGCCACTGCCACCACACACACTCCCAGGACACTCGTTCCTCTTTCTGTCTTTTAGCCGGATCCGGTGTTAGAGGTGTTAGAACTTCTTCCACCTGTCAAACAGCAGAGTTGTTGAGGAGAGAACTCTCAGCCCTTGTCCCACCCCAACCCCAGGGGCATGACCCAGACTGGTTCTGCCCAGAATCTCAAGCCACAGTCTGCCTGGAACCTAGCTGTCCTCCCGCCCCCAGGGGTAGCTGCATGGGGCATCCCGCAGGGCCCACTCAGGACTGGCCCCGGGTGCCCTGGCCCCTCAGTGCCGCCTACAGCGGGAGCTGCCAGCTTTTTGGAATTCCTAATCGCTCCTGGCCCCGGTGATTGGCTGCTCAGCTCTGACCCCACTTGGGCTGCCGCCTGGTTGGATAAAAGGGGAATCTCCTTGGGGCTCCAGAGCATTAGACACCGGAGGGGGCACCTGGGACCAACTTCGCAAAGCGGGGAGCCCGGCGGGGGGGTGGGGGGAGAAACAAACCTGCGGCCTCGGCCCCTCCAAAGAGCCTGGAGATGACGGGGAAAGCCGGGGAGGCTCTCAGCAAACCCAAATCCGAGACAGTGGCCAAGAGTACCTCGGGGGCCCCCCCGGCCAGGTGCACCGGGTTCGGCATCCAGGAGATCCTAGGCTTGAACAAGGAGCCCCCCACTTCCCACCCTCGGTCTGCCCTCGACGGCCTGGCCCCCGGGCACTTGCTGGCGGCGCGCTCGGTGCTCAGTCCCGCAGGAGTGGGCGGCATGGGGCTGCTGGGGCCCGGAGGGCTCCCCGGCTTCTACGCACAGCCCACCTTTCTGGAAGTGCTGTCCGACCCGCAGAACGTCCACTTGCAGCCTCTGAGCAGAGCGTCGGGGCCGCTGGACACCAGCCAGACGGCCAGCTCGGGTAGGTGAGGGCGAGGCTGCGTGGCTGGCTGACTGGGAACGAGAACCGGGAGCCCCAAGCTGTCGGTTGGAGCCCCGGCTTTCGCTGGCTTCTCCAGGCCTCCTCCCCGCGCAAAAGTTGGTGACAGGCCGAGGGATCGCTACCTGGGCCTGGGGCTGCACGCTCGGGGCTGGGATGGAGGATGCTCCAGGCGCCCGCGGGTTTCGGCCCCAGCGCTTCCCGCTGCCTTGCGGACCTCCGGCCCCCGCGTCAGGCCCGATTCTGCTGCGGCGCCGGGTTGGGGCCCCACTGTAAACCGGACTTGGGGTGCCAAGCCCTGGGGCGGACTGGGGGGCCGCAGTTTTGCCGTGCTGCTGCGGCCCTGGCCTTGAAAGGACCTGCGCTCCGGGAGCGGGAGGGACTCTGCTCGGCGCACCAGCGGCCCGGGAAGCGGGTGCTTCGGCCCCAGCCCTCGGGTCCAAAGTTGTCATTTCCTTTCTCCTTTTCTCCCTTCCCTCCTCCCCCGCCCCGGCACCGATCAGCTGGGGTTTATGGCCCCTCGGTCTGGGACCAGCCGGCCACCGCAGCGGTCGAAGCGGCCACCGTCCGATCCCACCTAAGTGCCACAGTTTATCGGACCTCGCGCCCTCAGAGTCTGGGGCCCCCGGATGACCCAGCCGCGCCCTCCCCGGACCCCTTACCGGGCTGTGCGTCCCGCCCGCTCGGCCCCCTGACTCTTGTTTGCATTAGGCAAGTCCCCTCATTTTTTCGTTATCGATTTATTCATTTTTGTTTGGAGGGGCAACGAGATGTGGCGCGTCGCGGTCTTTTCCGTCTCCAGCGGGGACCATTGTGCCGGCTTTGAACAGGCGCTTGCCCGGGAGGCCCCAGCCCTGCGCAGCGCGCCCCACCCCGCGCTCAGGCCCCCCGCTCCGGGCCAACTTTCGCCGAGGCGCTGGGGCTGCACGCGCCGGCCGAGGGCCGAGTTCCGAGCACCGCCCCGGTCCCCGCGACCCCCTGAGGCTGCCGCGCTCCTCCGCCGTCGCTGCTCCTGGCGCGTCGGGCCTTCGCCTCTCTTGCAACGAAATCTGTTCCGAAGCTCTTGGTTCGGACGCCGGCGTAGGTAGAGCCAAGCGGGGACTAGGGATGGGTCGACCTCTCAGAGGGCTTCACGGGGAGACCCAGCAAGCCCCCCGCGCTCCCGCAGGCGGCCCGGGGTGGGGCTCTCGCGGGGTCCCCGCGGCTGACGCACCTGGGCGCTGCCGAACGCGCCCCCCATTCTGCCGCATGTGCTTCCGCCCGCTTTTCAGATTCTGAAGATGTGTCCTCCAGCGATCGAAAAATGTCCAAATCGGCTTTAAACCAGACCAAGAAACGGAAGAAACGGCGACATAGGTAAGTCCTCGCAGCGCTTTCAGTCACCTCTCCTGCTCACCACCCCTCGTCGTCCCTGTTAAAGGAGTCGGGGTGTCGAGCCCCCCTCCCCTTTCTTTCTTTCTTTCTTTTTTTTTTTTTTTTTGGCCACTCTGGGCCTGAGGTTCAAGACTGTGCCAGGGAAGGGAGACCAGGCGTTGTCTGAGCAAACCTGGCCCCTGGCCTCTTGGAGGGAGGAAGATGTGTGGCCTCGTTTTTAGGTTTTTCCTCCTTCCCGAGAATGAAAAGGCCCAAAGCCGAGCCGCGCCCGAGCGAGGGGACCTGGCAGGCCCCAGACGCGACCCTGCCGAAACACTGCCCACAGCGGCGCACCCCTCCCGGCGGGCTCCTCCGCCCCAGCCGCTCGCCCCAGCGGGTCCGCGAGCGCTCAGCCTCCGGCCGCGTTGGTCCCCATCGGGCCTGACAGCCCCCTAGTTTTCTGTCCCCACCGTTCCCAATTTTATCACGGTGACAGTGTGACATCTGCGTGGGTGGATTTTCTTCTTTGGCTGCTGCGCTTTTGTGACCAGAGAAGATCGCTTCCCTTCTGTGAGCCTCAGTTTCCTTGTCTGTAAAGTGCGGGGTGGGAATGAGGGTGTGTGTCGACTGGGAGATGCCACCCACTCCAGCTGGGCTGAGAAAGGCTGCCCTGGGGTACAGACTTGACAGGTTTGGTGTTTTGTTTTGTTTTGTTTTGTTTTGTTTTGTTTTGTTTTTTTAAAGTCTTTAAACAGACATTACTTGCACTTAAGTTCAATAGGTGCCCAGAGGTTTATCTTGAAAAGGAATCCCTCACCCTACCCACCTCCCCTAGGGCATCAGTGCCTCTATGACCAAGTCCTCTTGTGAAGTGATGAGGTGAGGTGGCTGTTGAAGGAATCAGAGAGCGGACCAAAAATCTGCAAGATTTTCGAAACCGCTTTCAAGTGAGGCCTCAGAGCTCACCCCAATTTCCCTCTCCCTGCTGGGGTGTTCCCCCTAACTCTGGCCACTTTTCCCCA